GGACGAGGTCGTACAACTGCCCACATTTCTGGAAAGGTGAAAGGAAACGGAGCAGAGAAGGCATTCAGCTAGATAGCTGCTAGAAACACCAAGGTAATTGGGAGCCACCCTAGCACCTCCTGAAAAAAATGTATAATATCAGTGTTGTGACTCAGCTGGAATCACAGAGTGTCTCTGATGAGGATGATGAGACTCAGGTTCACAGTCTGGTTCAAAATGTCCCTGTTATAGACAGTGAAGAAGTGCAGTTTCCCACAGCAAGGAATGAGAGTGTTGATCCTCAGAGGATGCTTGCCATAGATGCAGGCAAAACATCAGGAGAAAATGCCTCTAGAACATGGCCATATAGCCCAAAAAAACCTACAACAACCCATAATTGTTATTATATGGCTCTTAATGAGACATGCCGCATTATCACAGCTTGTCTATGCCCCACACAACTGGAGAAATGACACTGTCTAGCCGGTATTGCATCACCTGACATCTACCGGATAGTAGCAACCAATAGTGAAAGGATCAAGGCAGTGACATCTCCGGCCAATCCTCTGTTCGGATATCAGCCAGCATGCCAACACCTTAAATCAAGAAATAGTTTTCTAAGATCTGCAGAGACAGTTGCAGGAACACCTCAGCAAGCAAGAGTCCAAAAGTGGCAGGCTAAAACCCAGAATGAGAGACACACCGAAGACTGGACGACTTGAAAGGCGCTGAACAGACTGCGCTCTGGCGCCACGAGATGCAGAGCCAACCTTAAGATATAATAATAATAATAATAATAATAATAATAATAATAATAATATTTATTTATACCCCGCCACCATCTCCCCAGTGGGGACTCGGAGCGGCTTACATGGGGCCAAGCCCGGACAACATATTACAGCAATAAAATGAAAGCATGAACAACAAACAACAACATCAAAATACATAATAAAAAGCAGTCATAAAATAACATTCTAATAAACACAATCACGATAAGGATAAAAATGTACAGGATAAAACAATTAAAAGACTGTAATGAGATAAAATAGGAGCAGGATATTTACAGGGAACTCATAAAACACAGAGTTGTGAGGCTAAACTTCCCATTTAGGGGGTGCGACCTTCAGTAGCAGAAAACGTTGAGGGGTGCAAAATGTCATGGTGTGTGCCTACTCACCAAAGGCACAACGGAAGAGCCGGGTTTTAAGGTCCTTTTTAAACGTTTCTAGTGAAAGGGCTTTCCCCTTCACATTTCTAGTGAAATGTGGCTACAAAGTTGTTTCAAGGCATTTGGAAGGCCAGAAGGAGAAAGAGATGTAGCTCGGCAGAGGCCCATATGGTTTGCATTACGAGTCCCTTGGCAGCCTCGCCGAAAAGTGTGCCGTTCCTTCTCCGCCTCTCATTGGAGGATTGTGAGCGACTCCCCTCTCAATGAGCTCTGAATGCGTTTGCCTTCAAGATGCAAGATGCTTGTCTTTAAAATCCCTGCTGCGGTGGAGCCAAAGCCGTGGAAGTTGTC